TCCATCCATCCATCCATCATCCATCCATCCATCCATTCATCCATCATCCATCCATCCATCCATCCATCATCCATCCATCCATCCATCCATCCATTCATCTATTCAGAATAAAACTAACCACTTTGATAGGGAAACAGGTTTTTCCCCTGAACTGCACCTGTTTGTTCATTTTTATTTTCATGTTTTTTTCTGTTTGTTGTTGTTTTGTTTTGTTTATTGTTGTTGCGTCTGTGTTGTGTTCACTGTCCAGGGTTTTGTGACAGGGGGGAAGGACGGCGTGGTGGAGCTGTGGGACGACATGTTTGAGCGATGTTTGAAGACCTATGCCATAAAGCGAGCTGCTTTATCTCCGTCCTCTAAAGGTTTGGACTGCTTTCAGCTGCTTCTGTAGTTTCTGCTGCTGGTTTGATTTTTGTGTGTTCCTTCAGGCCTGCTGCTGGAGGACAACCCGTCCATCAGAGCCATCACTCTGGGTCACGGTCACATCTTGCTCGGAACCAAGAACGGAGAAATCCTGGAGATCGATAAGAGTGGGCCAATGACACTGCTGGTTCAGGTCAGTGTGGGTCAGACTGGGCCGACATACTCAAACATCTCCACCTGTGGTGATGACATCATCAATCTTAACTTCCTGTGATCGTAAAACTGATTTTCTTAAAGCAGAAAGAAAATGTGTTGAAAATTCTAACAAGTATTTATCATGGGAGTGGTGGCGCAGAGGTTAGAGAMGATGAGTTTGTGATCAGAAGGTCACAGGTTCAACTCCCTGAACCAACCAGCCCCACATCGGGCCCTTGAGCAAGGTGGAGGAAACATTAAACAGACCTATCAAACAGAACCAACTAACCAAACTATTAAACAGAACCAACCAACCAAACCATCAAACAGAACCAACTAACCAAATCTGAACCAAAACATCAAACATGGATCTGGTTCTGTTTGATGTTTTGGTTTGATGGTTCAACATGGTTATTATTTATTTATTTATTTATTTATTTATTTATTTACTTACCGTTATTTTACCAGGCAAGTCCCATTGAGATCGCAGATCTCTTTTTCAAGGGAGACCTGGGCCTGAAGGCAACCTATTGTTTTATGCTGAGTTTATATGTTTCAGTTTTAAAGAGAAAAATGTGAGCTCACTGACGTTTGTGTTTTGCTAAGTCTGGATGATGATGAGGCTACTGTAATCCTGACAGCCTATTGAAGCTCTGTGATTGGTGCATTCAGGGTCACATGGAAGGGGAGGTGTGGGGTTTGGCAGTTCATCCCCTACTTCCTGTCTGTGCCTCCGTCAGCGATGATAAAACTCTGAGAATCTGGGAGCTGTCAGCCAATCACAGGATGGTTGCTGTCCGTAAACTGAAGAAAGGTGAGAGCAGCTTCAGTAAACACCTGTTAGTGTTTGACTCACCTGTTTCACCCGTGGGTCTCTTGTTACCTGCCAGGCGGGCGGTGCTGCGCCTTTTCTCCGGACGGTAAAGCTCTGGCTGTGGGTCTGAACGACGGCAGCTTCATGGTGGTGAACGCAGACACGCTGGAGGACATGGTGACCTTTCACCACCGCAGGGATCTCATCTCAGACATTCGTTTCTCCCAAGGTACCTGAACTCAGCACACAGGTGAGACACACAGTCAATCCAGCCTCTAATGAATCAGCTGTGTGGTGCAGATGTAGGCAAGTACCTGGCCGTGGCTTCCCATGATTCTTTTGTGGACATCTACAACATCCTGACGAGTAAAAGGGTCGGCATTTGTAAAGGAGCTGGAAGCTTCATCACTCACATGGACTGGGACTCCAGAGGTCAGTCACCTGTCCTGCTGCAGCTTACCTGTACCTGTCAGCGGTTTGGACCAGCAGTTCTAAGCCTTGTGCTGTTTGCAGGTAAACTGCTCCAGGTGAACACTGGAGCTAAGGAGCAGTTGTTCTTCGAGGCTCCACGAGGACACAAACAGAGCATCAGTGTGGCCGAGGTCAGGAACCAGCTCTGGTTCTTCAGGTCCAGTTGTGTAGGTAAAACTTCTTGTCAAGAAATTCTTTGTGTGTGTGTCCAGTTTGAGAAGTTGGACTGGGCCACCTGGACCTCAGTTCTGGGTCCCACCTGTGAAGGAATATGGCAGACTCTCAGCTTCATTAATGCAGCTTCTCTCACCAAAGATCGTAAACTTCTGGCCACGGGAGATGACTTCGGCTTTATTAAACTCTTCAGCTTCCCATCCAGGGTGAGGCTGGAACCAAAAGTCCTGACCCGACTGTGTTCTGATGGTTTCTAGCTCTGGTTCTAATGGTCCAAATACTTTCCTCAGGGCCAGTTTGCCAAGTTTAAGAAGTACGTGGGTCACAGCACCAATGTGACAAATGTCCGCTGGTCTAATGACGACTCCATGCTGTTGTCTGTGGGCGGAGCCGACACTGCGCTGATGATCTGGACCAGAGAACCACCAGGTCACAAAGAGAGCAAAGCCTTGGACAGCGAGGAGTCAGATGACGACTCTGAGGAAGACGGAGGTAACTTCACCTGGAGGGAAGGAGAGGACAGGTAGACAGGTGACACAGGTTCAAATGATGGATCATCTTCTGTGTTGAAGTTGCCATCATTTAAAGCTGGAAATGCCAAATAAAGTCTTCAGTCACATTTGAACGTACTGACAGGGGGCTCCTCCAAACGTTCCCAGTTCACCCTCACTATACGTTTGATTACCAGGTCTGTCCGGCAGCCTCCCCCGTCACCGGATCCAACTCACCACCAGGTGGTGATCAGTTGACAGCTCTGCCCCTCTCTTCACCCGGGTGTCCAAGACTTAGGGCCGCAGGTCCGATGACACGATTACAAAACAACTCATCGACCTTTGGTCGAAGGTGGCCTGGTACCATGTACACTTATGKAYCACCCTKTGCTCAAACAAATCTTTGTTATGGACAACCCGTGCTTAGCATAGAAGTCCAATAACATAACACCATTCAGGTTCAGATCAGGGAGGCAGTTCCTCCCAAACACCCTCTTCCAGATAACTCATTGTCCACATGGGCACTGAAGTCACCCAGCAGAACAAGGGAATCCCCAGGTGGCACCCCTTCCAGGACACCATCCAAAGACTCCAAAAAGGCTGGGTAATCTGAACTGATGTTTGGTGCATGAGCACAAAAACAGCCAGAACCTTCCCTCCTACTGAAACAGTCAGTAAATATGTTGTATTTCGATTGATCAGACAACAAATCTGTTGTGTTTTGGTAAAAAGGTTGACGAATCTGTTACCTTTCGGAGAAACAGTTAATGGATCTGTTGCGTTTCGGGGACACGATTGATGCATCTGTTGCATTTTGGTGAAACAGGCAATGGATCTGTTGCGTTTTGGTCAAATGATTGATGGATCTGTGGCATCTCCGTGGAACGGTTGATGGATCTGTGGTGTTTCAGTGAAACGGTCAATGCATCCATTGCATTATGGTGAAACAGGCAATGGATCAGTTGCGTTTTAGAGAAAGATCGATGGATCTGTTGCGTTTTGGTCAAATGATTGATGGATCTGTGGTGTTTCGGTGAAAGAGTCGATGCATCCATTGCATTTTGGTGAAACAGGCAATGGATCAGTTGCGTTTTGGTGAAATGGTTGATGGATCTGTAGCGTTTTGGTGAAACGGGCGATGAATCTATTGCATTTTAGAAAAAAACTCGATGGATCTGTTGCGTTTTAGTGAAATGATCAGTGGATCTGTTGCATTTTAGAGAAAGATGGATGGATCTGTTGCATTTTGGTCAAATGATTGATGGATCTTTCTTGGTTTCAGGGTATGACAGTGACATTGCTTGGGAGAAAGGGGTGGACTATGTAGCTAAGATCTATTCAGCAAGTACCAGGAACATGTCAGGAACCAAACCTCACCTACAACATCGAGAGCTTCCTGTGGAGGAGAGGTAAGCTGCTTCAACAATACACCACTTGATGAGTTCAGACGGTTTTTGCTTAATGATCTCATCCTGTTCAGGCCTCCTGTGAGCCGAGCTGTTCCGCTGCCTGACAAGCTGCTGAAGAACAACGTGACCAAGAAGAAGAAGGTGGTGGAGGTCAGTGCCTAATTCTCATTAAATAGGGTCTACAGAACCTGGACCCTCCATCTGACTGCTGTTTGTGCTGATTGCTAGGAGCTGGTTCTGGAACACATCTTTGGTTACAGAGGCTTTGACTGCCGCAACAACCTGCATTACCTCAACGATGGTGCTGACATCATCTTCCACACCGCTGCTGCTGTGATCATCCAGAACCTGTCTGCTGGTCTGTAGAACTTTGCCACAGCTTCTCAGAAAGGATTAGTTGCTGCTGCTGGCCTAACACTTCCTGCTTCCTGTCCTCACAGGAACTCAAAGTTTCTATCTGGAACACACCGACGACATCCTCTGTCTGACTGTCAATCAACACCCCAAGTACCAGAACATCATTGCCACGGGCCAGATCGGTGAGTCCAGCACCAGAAACCCTGTATACGGGACGGGTCCGACACCAGAACCCCTACACCAGAACCCTTACGGACGGGTCTTGGTTCTGGTGGTTCTGATGTTAAACCTRCTCTGTCTGCAGTAAATATAGTTATCAGGTTCAGGTTCTAGAGAACCTCCTGAGAACTGCACAGGTTGGTTTTATTCTCTCAGCATGAGGCTTTGGTCCATCACATCTTCTTGTTTTTTTTCTCACTGCTTCCTCATTGTCATCTCTTCACCTCATCACCAGGTGACCTCTCTGACCTGACAGGTAAGAGTCTCATCACACGCGGTTCTGTCTGTTTACCTGTGTGGTCTGGAAGGGTTCAGTGAGAATCCGCACCCAGGATCCTGATCAGATCTGAGCCTGTCAAAGTCAATTCTATCAGAGACGGTCCCATAAATGTGACCTGTGTGATTTAAAAATGATTCAGTTAATCATAAAGTTAATTATTCCACCAGATTCTGCAGTTTGTTTGTACTCRTTAGCAGCATCCTTCCCTTCAGATCCCTTCAGAACCCATCTGGTAACCTAGTCTTTACAGCTCTGGTTCCAGTTCTGGTTCCAGTTCCTAGTGGGGGTCCTTCCTTGTTGTTTGGGTTCTTTGGTTCTAGAGGTTTGTCTGTGCTTCAGGTCCAGGTTTACAGATCCATGGACTCTCTTGTTGGACGTGTGGTTTCTAGAGTTCCGGTTTCTCCTCACAGGTCTTGCTCCATCCATCCACGTGTGGGACGCGGTGACCAAGCAGACCCTGTCCATCCTGCGCTGCTCTCATGCTAAAGGTGTCGGCTACGTGAACTTCAGCGCCACCGGGAAGCTTCTGCTGTCTGTGGGCGTGGAACCAGAACACACCATCACAGTGTGGAGGTGGCAGGAAGGTCAGTTCCATCTAGAACCTTGGGGGGTTCACTGGGATCCCAGGGTCCTGGAGCAGTACTTTAACAGATTTAGTGTAGGAGCGACCAGCTGACTCTGGGTCTCTGTTAGGATCTAAGGTGACCAGTAAAGGGGGCCACTCTGAGCGGATCTTTGTGGTGGAGTTCAGACCCGACTCTGACACCCAGTTTGTGTCTGTGGGAATCAAACACATCAAGTTCTGGACTCTGGTTGGAGGGTCGCTCATGTATAAGAAAGGTGTGCTGGGCTCGGTGGAGGACAGCCGCATGCAGACCATGCTGTCCGTGGCATTTGGAGCTGTAAGAAGTTCTAAAGTTCTGAAGTCACCTTTTAGTCCAGCTGCAGGTTTCAGTCTGTGGTCAAGCAGCGTTTGTGTCGTTCAGAACAACCTGACGTTTACCGGAGCCATCAATGGAGATGTGTACGTCTGGAGGGAACACTTCCTGGTTCGAGTCGTGGCCAAAGCTCACAGCGGTCCGGTCTTCACCATGTACACCACGCTGAGGGACGGCCTCATCGTTACCGGAGGCAAGGAACGCCCGTGAGTATATTTGTTTGTTTGGTTCTGGTTCTGATGTTTGTGTCCAGCTGTTGGATCTGCAGATACTAATCATGTTTCCTCCTATCCCCAGCTGATCAGGAACTAAATCTGTCTCCAGGTGCTGGAGCCAGTACATTTCTGCTCCTGAATGTTGGACTTGTCTTGGTCTGGTCTCATGAACTTGACCCGTCACCAGAGGCCACGTGATCTAGTTTATCAGTCTGAGATCCAGCTGATCCAGGTTCAGGGCCTTCGAGACCCTGATTGTTATGACAACAGATCCATTATCTGTCATTCTTGAAGCACTATCAGAGAAGTAATGGTGGAAGACTGTAAAATTTAACAAAATCCTTAATCTGAAAAAATGTTTTCAAGCAAAAATACTAAAACTTTTCTAYATCGTTTTCATATTATTTCCAGTAGACACAGCTAGCTCGCTCAGAAAACTGTATCTAATCTCTTTTTTCTTAAATATATCAAGGCTAAACGGGAAGTAACACTTTCAAAATAAAATCTGAATTTCACAAGAATGTCAACATAAGCTCTTGTTTACCTAACTTACTGTCAACAGACCCCCCTGAGACCTGCAGGTCCAAATGATCTGATCAAGTCTGGGGTTTTGTTCCACAGGACCAAAGAGGGGGGAGCCGTGAAGCTGTGGGACCAGGAGATGAAGCGCTGCCGGGCCTTCCAGCTGGAGACCGGTCAGCCAGTGGAGAACGTCCGATCCGTCTGCAGAGGCAAGGTAAAACCTTGACACTGGTTCTAACAGATCTCACCCTGTAGGGTCAGAACCGGAAACGCCTGGAGTTTTCAGTGGGGGGTCTGAAGTCTTGTTCTGGAGCGGTTTTCAGATGGCTCTTTTCTTTTCAGGGTAAGATTCTGGTGGGAACAAAAAATGGTGAGATCATAGAGGTTGGAGAGAAGAATGCTGCGTCCAACGCCATGATCAACGGACACACTCAGGGAGGGATCTGGGGCTTAGGAGCTCATCCTTTCAAAGATGTCTTCATCTCAGCCAGCGATGATGGGACCATCCGGATATGGGACCTGGCTGACAAGGTACAGAATCCTGGCTCCTTCAGCCTTCGTATGACCCAGCAGCTGACATTAATTCAGTTTTTATGCTCCAGAAATTGCTGAATAAGGTGAGTTTGGGTCACCCTGCCAAGTGCACGTCCTACAGTCCAAACGGAGAGATGGTTTCCATCGGCATGGAGAACGGAGAGTTCATCGTCCTGCTCGTCAACTCACTCACCGTCTGGGGCAAGAAGAGGGACCGCAGTGCTTCCATCCAGGATATCCGGTAAATGTCGGGTTTGCGGCAGGAAATACAGCTGGACTTGTGTTCCATTCTCCTCAACCAGCTGAGCTTCTTGTGGTTCAGTTTCAGCCCGGATAACCGGTTCCTGGCAGTGGGTTCRGTTGAAAGCGCCGTTGATTTCTACGACCTTTCTCTTGGCTCATCACTTAATCGAATCGGTTACTGCAAGGACATCCCCGGCTTTGTGATCCAGATGGACTTCTCTGCTGACAGCAAACACATCCAGGTCAGTCCAAACCTGCAGACGGTTCAGACAAAGCACCACAGCTCTTCCTGTAACCTTTGAGCTTTCCTGTCTTCCTCATTCTGTCAGGTGTCCACCAGCACCTACACCCGACAGGTSCACATGGTTCCATCAGGGAAGATGGTCACAGAACTACCCATTATCGAAAGAACCACCTGGGCAAGCTGGACCAGGTGAGACTCGTCAGACCCGTTTCACACGAAGCTCACAGATGGCTTTATTCAAGTTAGTTAAGTTTATTCATTTTCTTTAAAAACAACAACATAAATTCAACAAACAACAAAAATACAAATCGTAAATTAAATTAAAGGTAGCAGAAGAAGAAAAAATGTATTCAAGTTATTCATGTTGACAACATCATCATGTCTGATGTCATGTCTCTAACATGAAGAAGCAGATTTCAGCAGTGAGTCCAGAGCAGGAATACTGTGGCTGTATCACTTCCTGTTTCAGATCTGAGCTTCAGTTTAGATCTAGCCCAGGTATAGGCCCTGACAGGAAGTTGGTTTTATTTCCCAGCATCCTCGGGGATGAAGTTCTGGGCATTTGGCCTCGAAACGCCGATAAGGCCAACGTGAACTGCGCCTGCGTTTCCCACGCCGGCCTCAGCCTGGTGACCGGAGACGACTTCGGTCTCATCAAGCTCTTCGACTTCCCCTGCACTGAAAAATATGTGAGTCAAGAATTCTTCCAGAACCTCTAGTCCAGACAGGTTCAAACTGGTTCTGTTCTTTTTCCAGGCCAAACACAAGCGTTACTTCGGTCACTCCCCTCATGTGACTAACATCCGCTTCTCCTGTGACGATAAACATGTCATCAGTGCTGGAGGCAGTGACTGCAGGTCAGAACCACATTTAACACACCAGGATAGGGTTATGGTTCTGTTAGGGTGTTCCTTATTGTCTACAGGACAACATACAAGACCACCAACATACAGAACTCCCAACATACAAGACCACCAACATACAGGACCACCAACATACAAGACCACCAACATACAGGACCACCAACATACAGTACTACCAACATACAAGACCACCAACATACAAGACCACCAACATACAAGACCTCCAACATACAGGACCACCAACATACAGGACTACCAAAGTACAGGACTACCAACTCACTCAGAATAAAAGACTAAAAAAGCAGAACTTCAGGGTCACTTTGGGGTTATTTAAGGGTAACTTTGATGTGACTTTGGGGTAACGTTGAGGTAACTTTGGTATGACTTCGTTAACTTTGGGGTAACTTTAGTGTGACTTTGGGGTAACTTAAGGGTATCTTTGATGTAGCTTCAGTGTGACTTTGGGGTAACTTTGGTGTCACTTTGGGGTAACTTCAGGGTAAGTTTGGGGTATGTTTAGGGTAACTTAGGGGTATCTTTGGGGTAAGTTCAGGCTAACTTTAGTGTAACTTCAGTGTGACTTTGGAGTAACTTCAGGGTAACTTTTGTTTGACTTCACGTTAACTTTGGGTTCACTTTGGTGTGACTTTAGGGTAACTACAGGGTATCTTTGGTGTAAGTTCAGAGTGACTTTGGGGTCACTTTTGGTGTGACTTTAAGTTAACTTTAGGGTAACTTCAGGATAAGTGTGGGGGTAACTTCAGGGTATCTTTGGTGTATCTTTTGTGTTACTTTGGGGTAACGTCAGTGTAACTTTGTGGTAACTCTTGGGTAACTTTGGGATAACTTCAGGGTAACTTTGGTGTGACTTTGGGGTAACTTTGGTGTGACTTTGGGATAACTTCAGGGTATCTTTGATGTAACTTCAGTGTGACTTTAGGGTAATGTTTGGTGTGACTTTAAGTTAACTTTGGGTTAACTTCAGGGTAAGTGTGGGGTAACTTCGGGGTAAATTTGGTGTAACTCTGGGGTAAATCCGTGGTAACTTTGGGATAACTCTTGGGTAACTTTGGGGTAACTTCACTATGACTTTGGGGTAACTTCAGGATAAGTTTGGGGTATCTTTGGGGTAACTTGTTCATGTTCTTTGTGTGTTTTCCCTGCAGCCTGTTTGTGTGGAGATGTCAGTGAAGTTTTGGGAGTCCAGATGAACGCTTGTCCTCAGATTCCTGTTACTGTCCTCGAAGGACCAGAAGTCTGGTTTTATGCCCTCTGAACTGACTCTGGATCAGTTTCCTGCTGCTGACAGAGGGTGGAGTACCTCTATTCTGGCACAGAGGCTTTTCCTTGTTGCATCTGATGAAGTTTCAGGTCTTTTCTTTTGTTAGACTGATGGAGAAATGTTTGAGCTCCAGCAGCCATGTAGCCGTGTGATGTAGCGTGTTCCTGTGTTCGTGCCTTTTCTACAACCTCTGACCAAACATTTGATAAGATCATGGTGCTGTAACAATTTAGGGCTTTTACACATGTGGATGCTAAATTCATTTGTTTTTTTTTTCTTTTTGTGATGATGATGATGTAGTTCCCTGCATGAAAGTAAAACAAAGGAAATATAGATCTGTGACAGACATTAAGAACTGAAGGTTTTAAAAACTAGTTTGTTAATAAACTCTACCTCTAAAACAAAGAAAAACAAAGAAGTATTTGGTAAGAACTAAATGTTAAAATGTTTGTTTGTGACTCCAGCTGATGATCTCTGCTGGTCCTTCTGTAATACATCTAGGTTCCTGTAGCTCCAACRGTTCGATTCCTTCAGTCTGAACTGGTTTCTGTCAAATATGAAATGTCTTTAAATTAAGTAAACAACAAAACAAGAGGCTAGACTCTTCTGCAGAAAGTAACAATCTTTAGTTTCATTCTGACTCTGTGCTGCAGATATTTGATGATAATTGTAGTTCTATGAAAGTTTTGGTCCTAAATGATATGTGATAAATAGTGTTTAAAAAGCCTAAATATATGAGTGTTTTGGACTTTGTGTGTCCACACTACACATGCCCGCATTTTGGTCAAAATAGAGTAGATTTAAAGAGAGAGAACGATATTTTGTCATTTCCTATGTGGCAATCCTGAAACTCCTGGACTCTGGGGATATGGAGTGTCAAGGAGGAGAAATTAAAGTTCCTCTTTAATTGTTTAATTGATTCTTTGTTTAATAGAAAATCTGAAAGTCAGAATGGATCAACTTTGTGACATTTATTTTATAAATGAATAAAACTACAGGACAGAACAATTGTGTTCCTGTGTGTCCGTTGTGTCTGTTGTAAAACTAGATCTAAGATCTGAACACATATTTTCCAGAACAAGAACTCGTATCCATCATGGTGGCAGGAATCTGACACAAAGCCTCATGTATGAAGGGTTKGACCTGATGTGATCCACATACTGGTTACACAAACTGACTGCTCTCCATGAAGGGACAGCAGCAGAAAAACAGCTGCTAATGGAAGGAACTCTACCAGAGGGGTTGACCCAAGGCCAGATTCTCCYGATTATGAAAAGTCCCATCCAGCTCCCAGCCCAGCATCGGCCTCTGAACAACATGGATGTTCCTGTTGGGAGGTTTGAAACTACAACATGGAGAAAGTCTTTCATCTAGAGGCAGAGTCAGGTTGAGATTATTAGTGGTCCATCCATCCATCCATCCATCCATCCATCCATCCATCCATCCATCCATCCATCCATCCATC